TTTGGCTAGAGTGGCACGTTAGTAAGTAAATTTAACATGCTTGACAATAAAGATCTTTCGGATTCGGATAGTTATAAAGGTTTATATAATGTATTCATAATGATAAATTGTCTTTTTACAGTAGTTGCACGGTATCGTTGTCGGATTTTTAAATCTGATTTTCACTCGTTTCTGGCCGCTTTATGAGTTTTACCAAACAGGTGCAGCCTTGAAAACGAAGCCATGCCGCTTGTTCCTCATGAGAATAGGCATACTGTAGGTCGTTTTTCTCCAGCAAAACTGGAAGCAGATGCTTTACATCTTCTTCGGGATGTCGCTATTTCACATACACAGATGATAAAGAAAAGGAAAGCTTGCACTTTAGTTGACCGTAAGAGTTTTTTCTGTCCTAAAGTAAACATTCTTTTCTGAGATTGAAACTCTAAGTTGTTCCCTGCCTTGCGCCCGTGGCTTTCAGTATATGCTTCGGACAAGCGTAGGACAAGCGGGTAGCCTATAAAAAAATGGATGGCTGGAAATCATGTGCCACGGAGAGACATGTAAATTGTGGGGAACACCGAGTTCTGGGTCAAAATGAGCCTACGAGTACGTTTCTGGTTTGGGAAGAACAGAACCGATGAAATGGTTTAAGCAGGAAGAATTAATTAAACGATTTATGGGGAAGTTCAATGCTGCAAAAGTAGTGCGACCTGGAAATAATGGTTTAACTGAATTTCTGAAAACTTAAAAAGGAGCACAGTTCATTTTAATAGAAAATAAAAAGCACAGAAAGTACTTACTCTGCTGGAAAAAAATACCATTTTAATTAACAAGGTCGCTTTAGTAAATATTTTATGGACGGGCCAAACCATCATTTGGAACATGCTAATGAAAAAAACAAATATTAACCCATCAACCATTATTTGTAAAGTATATTGTCCCTTTAAATTTATTGCATGTATAATTTGCCTCTTCCGTAATTAATAACTGGCTGGCTAATAAATGTAACATCGTTTTTTTGCTTTGTTTAGATCTTTCCACATTTTGTCTAATCTAATTTTTATATGTTTCTTTAGAAGTTACATTCATCCGTTTAAAGGCACCCTTGTACACCTCGTACAGCAATCTTCTATGACAGCATCCGCGTGTACCGTGGTGATGCTACTCGGGGGTGTTGTATTATGGGACGGCTTCTTCTGATGCCACTCGGAAAACTAGAAAATTGACGAACAGATTCACCTTCCATCAACAGTTGTAGCAAAATGCAGATTCATTGGGCCAAAGACATTGGGCCTGAAGTTCTCAGGAGAGACAGCACTGCACCGTGGAGGTCTGGGGCATGCTGTGCAAAAACAGCCTCCATTTAACCCACCATAGGGGGCTGGTTTGTGCACCACACAAACGTGTTTTCTTAGAACATATCCAGCAAATTTTGGCATTGGTTTGAAGTACTGGGATCAAACTCTGAGCTGGAACATCTTGCACTGGGACTCAAGTCATACTCACAATGATACTCATACTCACACTGATATTCAACATGGATACTCTGAAACTCATACAGACATGCACTGGCATTTATACTCACACAATACTCATACTAACACACAGGGGTGTTGCTAGAGATTTTGGGCCCCATGAAAGCCCCCAGTCCAAACCAATCCAGTTATTTTCCTAATTTTGTAGGGTCCCTGTCACTCAGGGGCCCTTGGAATCGTCCTAGCTTTCCTCCCCCTTATGGCGCCCCTGCTAACACATATACTCATGATGATATACTGACACAATACTCATACTCACACTTGTACTCACATGAATATTCACAATGATTTACCTGTCCAAGCATTTGTCACTTTCATTACATGTACAGTAAAACTAAAATACACAGATGTACACTTTAAACTTTAACTCTTTATAGCCCCAGGAGGACATAAATATTAAAGCATCACCTGATAAAATGAAAAATACATTGGAGACAATTTGGCGTGTAACTGTAACAGAGGCATGGCAACACAGAGCCGCGATTCACCAGCACATGGAGCAGCAGTACGGCCTGAAGATGCCCTCACAGGCTCACTGTGTTTCTTGGCCCTGATTTTCTGCTTCGATAGTGGCATCTTCAAGCTCTGCTCCTCACTGTTGCAGACAGAGAAAATCCATCACCTCAACGTCTTAATTAACGAGCCCCGAACATCTCCTTTGTGAAAGATCTTTGCAAGATGTGAGCAGACGGTGACATATCCACTGCGGGGGAAACTTGTGGAAATGACACACTCATACAATAATATACTCTCCCCTCATTGCGACACATGTGATTTATCTATGGCAGCTGTGTGAGAATGTTCTGTGATCTGCCTTAGAAATGGAGCGGCAGCACAGCTGAGCAGCGGACAGGAATAAAGCTGCACTTTATGTTGCAGATCTGCACTTTATGACATCGTTACGTCTCCGTGTAATAGTACATGTTGCCGGTGGCTTCTATATAACCTCAGAGCTGGCAGCGTCTCTGGCTGCTCTCTGAGAAGCCCGAGCAGCTCAGATGTGAGATCGTTCCCTTAATCCGCTCCCCGGGCGAGACGGCAGAGAGACACAGGGGGTGAGTGTATGAGAAGGGGGTTTAACCTGTTAGCTTTGGGTATGAGCTGAACCTGGACAATCGGAAACGTTTGCCAAAGTTGGGCAGAATTTTCTGAAGCTCATTTGCATATTGCATAAATATTGCCACTTGGAGACTGGAACTGATCTTCAGAGTCACCTTCCCTATAAATTTATAAGCTTGGTTTTTTTTCTCAGTATTTTTCTGGTATGCAGGCCTGAATGTGACTTGGGGCAGATTTCTGTGACTCAATGCGGCGCCGACATGGAGGTACAGGCTGCAATGGCGGGACCCAGCCCACAGAGGGCACGATGGCACCCAGCTGTCAACGTGGTGCCTCCAGACGAACCAGTGTTCGGTTCTCCAATTGCAATGGTGAGTCACGCTTCCAGGATGCCAGGCCTGCCTAACCCCAATTGAGACTCCACCATAATTGCCATAATTGCCTCCCCAAAATAGTTTTTTTTAAGTATCCTTTAATCATCAAGCTAAAGTTTAATTACTGGCCTGAACTGATGCATAACATTCTTCTTCCATTCTTTCCTTGATAATCCATCATTTTTTAAGCCACACCCATTTTTAACCCCACCCCCAAAGTATGTCAACGGGTCACTACTCAATGTCCAATGCGGTGCAGTCGATAATTTCCAGTGTAGAGGGAAAGTACTTCCAGGAATTTCATTCACTTTTTGCTCTGCGTCAGTGCCTTGGGAAATTCTGCTCTAATGTCTGATTCATGCGGACAGATCCAGGACATCGACAGCCCAGAGCTTAAGGCAAAACTTAACCAGACTTTCGAGAGCTGACTGAGAGACTCCCCAGCTAACAGAAGATAAAAAATATATAAAACAAAATCACAAACGTTCTTCCGCCAGCGATCAGGAGGGCCAAGTCTGAAATCACAGGCTGGAAAAGCATCCTTTTATACCCTTGCCGTCGTAACAGCTAGATCTGCCCCCCCCCCCCCTGCAAGGAATATGCTTTGCAAGCAAGACAATGGCAGTCAATTACATGCTTCTTAACAGTAGGGTTTGCGGCCTAGATGTAAACAGAGACAGAGAAAACGATTCCTCCACTCGGCAGGCTTGGTGGAGAATTCTTAGAGGCAGTGAGGAGTGAGTCCATTCTCAGGCCCCTAGCTCTGCTTGGATCCCCATTTCCAGCGTGTTTTCTTACTTTCGTTTACACAGATGTTTGCAGGCCCCTTGATTAGCATAGTGAGCATTTAACATCAGCACAGGAAATTCCAGATGGCTGCAGCCCTGTACATCAACTCATACATTACCGGTCATCGTAAACAGCGCAGGGTGGTGACCAGTGACACCATGCATCTGCTGATGCCGTTTCTAACTGCACATTTACGTTGTATTTATTTAGTTTATCCAAAGCAATGTACTTTGGTTTTTTCGGGGAAAGTGGGGACAGCCAGACCCTGGAGCAATTAGGATTGAGTCTTGGTCAAGGACCCAATGGTGAAACCACTCTGCCTATCCTGGGACTTGAACCAACGACCTTCCGGCCACAATAACCCACTGAGCCAAACACTGTACGTACCTGACCATCTAGCAGACACTTTTACATCTTAGAACTCTCCGAAACTTCATACTCTTCACCAAAACACAACGGGACACAGAAGAATCCCAGCTTTTGCAGCTGTTTCATACCTGGGTGACAAACCCACACTCTCTTAGCAAAAGCTCCCTGCTGCACGAAATCGGGGTCTGACTGGGACGCTGTTTGCCGGCACCACTGCTGGGGTCCTGCTCAAGGCAGTCACCTAGGAGACGGGCAGGAGAGCGTGGATAAATCCCCAGCGTGCTGTGATGTTAGTCTCTGCAGCCCAATCATCAGTCAGGCTCTGTTTACACAATGAGGACACTCCACTGTGAAATGCTGGGATAACACAAATAAAGGATTCACGGGACCCCAAGCCCCTGCACCACTGGGCTGGAGGGGAGGGGGGGTTGGCTAGGTGAAGGGGGGATGAATTTGATCACATCCAGTCTTTGTAGAACCAGGGATGTCAGACTCTCGGTTTCCATTGCCAAACCCACATGGAGTGGCTTAAAGAGACTGCCCCCCCAGCACATTTCATCCCCTATTAATCTTCTGATTGGATCCCCAGCAGACCCCCAGTTCATTAAGGGCCTTTGGGGGGGCAGTAAAGGCTGTAATCACTGTAAGTATGGCGTAGCTGTGGACCCCACACATAGCCTGTCACATACCTCCCCAGAAATGTAACTACATACAATGCAGGGCACAGGAACTCTCACTGGTCTGCTGGGTAGCATTTATGGGGACGAAGAAAGCGTACATCCCTCGTGTACTTATACCGCTGATTGAAACTGAAGCTTTTTATATCAAGCATTAAATAACCCACCCTAGGCATCGTAGCAACAGGTCTACAAAACACTCAGGATGACAATGGCAATTTCACTCACCCCCATTAAGTTTATTTGTACAACACTAAAGTAAAAAGTATAGACACTAACTTTAGAAGGGAAAAAAACACACACAAAGTAACTTTGTAGTGACTTGACATTTTTCCAGATTTGTCTACGGGAAATTTGGAGCAGCACAAATGTAACTGGGACTCGATAAATGGATGCCTTGTTAAATGTTTTTTTCTACCTGTTTCAATTGCACGATTCAACAACTGAATACATCACATTTGGCAGAGTAATTGCTACAAGTATAAATACTGGTGACGGCGCAGGTCACTTGCGCAGGTCACTTACGGCAGCCATGGCATCGGCGCCATGCAGAGATCAGCCTTAAGCTGCAGCACTCGAGTGGCTGGAGAAACATTCACATTCCCACGCATCTGTAATTTTCCAACACAGGGAATTCTAAGCAAATGGAATGCGGCACTGTTTGAACTAAACCCCCACACTCTCCTGGGGGGGGGGGGGCTGCTTAGAGGTCACAGAAAAACCAGGAAATGGCGCAACCCTAAAACTGCATTGATAATTCACATTTGGATTAATGTATAGACTGTAGCCCAGTGCTCTGGAAGCATCAGGGCCCCACCCTGCCTTGAGAAAAATACAGAGATTATTAGGGGATTATTGATTTTGTTCTCTCTCAGTTTTCTTTTGGCTCAAACAGCTTGTGTGGCCTGCTTGGGGGACACCGCCTAGCCAGGACCGCCCAGGTTATTTAAGTGTGAGACCCAGTACAATGCATAGAGGGGACAGGAGCGGAGACCAGAACAGCTTTTATAGCTTTTTATGGCGCTTTCGAAGCAAACAACTGAGTTACCCATTCAAAGCAGGTTAGTGAAGAAGTCACCACGACCTGTGCACATTAACCAGGCAAGAGTAAACACATGCACTGTAACAGATGCTACTGAGGTCAGAGGTCAAAGCTGACATCACACTAGTGTGACTCGCAGAAAGACTTCCCTCAAATGTCATCCCCATCTGTAACACCAACCAAACCCAAAGTGAAGAAAGCTTTACACTTATTACCATCTGGTGAGATGATAGAGCAGAAGACAGAGGGTTTGGGGCTAACGGTTCAGTTAATATCTCATGCACAGTCTCACAAAACGCAGGCTGTGGTTCTGGCACCCATTTATAAGCAGAATGTGGGGATCAGAGCCCAGAGCCAGCCATTAATCCAGTGCCCATTTTGGGGGGGGGGGGGGCTGTTAAGGGCCTAACTCCTGGACAACAGTGGCGCAGCAGAGTAGCTGCCAAGCACACAGCACCCCCCAAAGGCAGGAGACTCCACTGCAATTATAATATATTTCTTAATCAAAGGTCGCAGCGGGGGTGTCAATGCCTCTTACTAAAAGATGAGACAGACAGTTCACTTGGGACGTGGCCCAGGAACGTAACAAATGGATGGACATAATCATGGTTTTTGTTTTAAAAATCGCAGATGTTTTGTGCCCCCGCCTTGTGGAAGGATATGTACTGATGAGAAGGGAGGGGGCCTCACGTGTAAAAGGGTGAATCGGAGGCCAGCAGATTGTTCGCGTAACAGCACCGATTTGTCAGCGTCGAGGTACTGGCAGACGATCACGTTTTAAATAAAGAGGCAGGCATGGGAGCCTTCCATTCCAATTCCTCGGAATGCATTCCAGAACGACCCGCGCAAAACCTCCCCCTGTTCACAACTTGCTTTTTTAAATAGCCGCATGCACATTTCAGAAACCGAACAGAACCAGCAGCACTAACAGATGCAGTACTAGTCGGGGATTAAATTCAGCAACTGCCGGACCATCACTGAAGCCACTTCATATACAATAGTTAGTCATCACTAATAAACGGGACATTTCAGTTTCGAGTCCAGAATACTGGAAATGAAAACAGCAGGTATAATGCAATAAAGAGCTTCCAACCATCATGCAGCACTAATAATTACATATTAATTAGTGTTATATCTCACAGCTGACTTACTCAATCACATTCAGAACTTTATTTACATTCACCGGCTTTATTGGTGATCATCCCACATCGGACTTGAAATCATTGGTATCTGTTCAGAACAGAGAACTACTGGCCCCTGGTGGAACATTGCTGACATTTCAAAAGGATATTTACAAAAGCCTTAAAAAGTTAATAAATTAAAAAACAATAAAATTAGTAGTTTAAATATTTTTTTTGATACACATAGTTAACACATCTGTTTCTTAGTAAGGAGGACAGTCAAACCCAAAGAGAAGGACTTATCGTCAAACGGTCTCATGCTGCTTGTGAATTGTCTGAGGTTGCCTCACCCTGTTGCTACAAACAGTGCAAAGCCTTGCTAGCTGTGTGTGTGGGTTGGGGGGGGGGGGCGTCCTGCTTTCCGGCAGACGGTCGCTCTGCTGCATGCGTGAATTTTGCCCAGCTCCATGCTGATGAGCTTTGAGGTCTGAGCGTTAAGCTAAAAGCCTTCAAGCCCACCCCCCTGTACCTGGCAGTGACTGCAAGGGGCAAACCCAGGAAACATCTGCCCCCAACTCCAAATCTGACAGTACTCCCCAAGGAGGAGGCCCTGGGGAGTCACCCCTGAGAGGTGGCCATAAGCCACATACCGCAAGAATCCCTTGTTTTGTGGAAAGTGAAGTCCTTCCTTCCAAACTGAGATGATTATAAGAGGAACACAGATGAATGCATCTTAGCAGAGGATCCCACTCCATGCCACGACAGGTCTTTCTCCAGGATGTCCGGCTTCTACTGGTTGTTCTCAAAGAACATGAAGTCCTGAAGAAAATCACCACATGTCATCACGATGCTGGTCAGTGAACTCCAAGAAATAAATGGGCAGCTAAATGATGCTACACTTCTTTACTGTTCTTAACGCTAATTTTTACAATGGCAATATTAAATACTCCAGACTGGGGAACACCAAGGTATCCAAGAATCCTGTCTGGCATGATGAGGTACTGGAAAGAGGAAGACAGCGAGGCAGACTCACGATGAGGAAGCACGCGCCAATCATCACCGCCTTCATCCTGACGTCCAGGTCCATGGGGAATTGGATGCCAAAGTTGTCCGTGTCGGTGAACACCTCCCGCAAGAGGCCCGTCCACTGCTTGCTGATCTTGCCGATCTTATTGATCTCGTCCATGGTGAGAATCTCAAGGGAAACACACGTTAGGACCACTCAGTGCGGAAACCCGATGTTACGGACATGGAGCATAGTGTGGGCAGAAAGGAAGTGACGATCCACGGGTGGCTCCAAGACAAAGGGGTTTATCAAGGGAACAAATACACTTGGGGAAAACCCAAACTAAAGAACCAGAAGGGATCAGAAACAAACAGGGAAAAAAATAACAAGAACTAATTACACGAACCATAACGTAACAGAACAAGTGAGGAGAACAACACATGGAGCTGGACTAGGTAACTGAACAGCACAACACACAATAACCTTCACATAACAAAGTACATTCACCTAATACAATAACTCACTAGAGAACAGAGCTGGGGCAAACAAGGAACAGGTGTAAGACAATCAATTAACCAATTAACACAGGGCACAGGAAAACAAGCAAAAGAATAGAACAATCAACAAGCACTGGCACAAGAAAACAGGCAACAGGTGGAACTAACAACAATTTGCAAGCACAGAAACTAAGACCAAAAACTACAAAAACTAGGAAACATTAACTGCATACCGGGAATTAAACACTAGGAATAGAACAAAAGGATAGTTAAACGGAACCAGAATGGAACAGAACAGAACACAAGCAAGGAAAACCTTGGACAAGAAAACTAATATAAGAAAATACACGCTGGGAAACAAAAACCCAATAAATACAAAAACCACCAAGGCCTCAAACCAATCACCAGCGGGACTCTGAGCCGCACGTTCAGCCTATTGAGCCATGTGGCAGTCGGGGAAGCAGGAGAAACACACAAGGGTTTGACAAGGAGTGACAAGATGGGCTGACCAGCGACACCTGCTGGCCAGACAGGGAAGAGATACTAAGGACAGGACCAAACGGGTGCTGACCATGACACCCGGCTTCTGTAATGAGTGTCCCAGCAGCCCGATATCACCCCAAAGCAGGTTCCATACCGCAGCAGTACCCGGATTCATTAAAGCCGGCAACATGCTGGTGTAGGGTCAGAACCCGGACGGCGAGTGCCGTACCTCGAAGTCGACGTCTGGCAGGCAGCTCCAGCCACAGAAGGGCCCGTGGAGCTTCAGCACCTGCTCCCGCCGCTCGTTCTCGATGATGAACTTGGGGAAGATGGGGTGCCACTGCTGCAGCACGTAGCCCACCGTGTTCCCTGGGGGCGACTGCACCTCCATCTGCGAGGGGGGGCGTTATCATGCATTTACTGCCAATACCCACAGTAATTAAATGGTAATTAATACATCTGAATTACATTCCAATTAAAGTATTTTATACACTATTAGTCAAAAATTTTTGCACACACTGAAATATTCTACATTTGAATGTACTTACTTTCATTTGCACTTAAAATTTACTAAGAATACACTCAATATTCTTTGCTAACAAATACATTTACAGCATGTTCACCATTTTAGTACCTTTATTAGCAAGAAAATGTCATATCCTTGATTCTTCAAAGTAACCTCCTCTAGCAGTTAGAACAGCAGAGAAATTTGAGACATTCTTTCTACAAGGGACATTAAATACTGCTCTGATTCATATGATGAAACAGTCAACTAGTGCATTTAAAGTTAAAGGACAGCCTAGAATTTGACTATGCCACACTATCACCACACAACCAGTTAATATGATGTCAGACATGCACTGTTACATACTCTTTACATGTTATAAAGGAAACTTGGTTTATTTGATTTATTTTCATTCATAGTTGTTCACTGAACTTTCTAATGCTTAACAAAAATAAAACATCTGCAGTTTATGAAATAAATGGAAAAGTGGTAAAAACCTGTGGTGTGTAAAACCTTTTGACTGACAGTATATATCACAATTCCAATTATATATACTATACTATACACTTGGTATATATAACATCTCGTCCTGAGATCAGCTCACCTCCTGCAGGCAGCAGGGGAAGAGGCAGGAGGTGCACTTGAGGGGCCGCGTGATGGTGATGACCTCGTGGCCGAAATTGTCGAGCACGCGGATGGTGAAGGAGCGCAGCGGGCCGCAGCACTGCCGGCTCAGGCAGTCGTTCTCCTCCACCGCGAAGAACACGTTCTGGCCCAAGGAGTTGCGGATCTCGTACTTATTGTTGCTCTCGAAGCCGGCGAGGGCTATGAAGGGGGTGGGAGGGTGGGGGGTCAGGCCAGAGGAGCATGTAAAAACCCCGGAAGGAGGGAGATACAGGCAGGCAATGGTGTAACCGGGTCCGATAACCGGGGTGGACCTGACCTCGAAGAAGTGAATACTGCTATTCAACCCCATAGAGTACAGATACATTGCTGTATGAAAAGCATCCCAGACAAACATAAAAGTCAAAGCAGTTAATGTCCATCACATTCACATTGCTGTAGAAACATACCTTCGATAAGTTCGACCCTTTGTTTTATAAGCAGCTGGTCAACCTGTGTGGGCAAACGAAGAAGGCAGACATTTTTATTTACATGTAACGTTTGAACGACAGTATCGACACCACTAACCATCACTGAGCTCAAAAACATAACCCTACAGCATCTGTGACCCATATTTACCTCGTCATAATGCATAACTGTGATTATATTTAAAGTATTTATCTGCAGTGCCCTTGTTTGTGCAGTCCGGCATCTAAACAGACGACAGGCAATATAATTTCCCAGGGACAGCCTCAAACAGGTAGAAGTGTCACACAAACCTGTGTTAAGTACTCCAGACCTGGGGGGACACCAGGCATGGAGGGGTTGGGCATCATGTACATATCCATGGCTGGTAATGTCAGAGGTGGGGGGAGACAGAGAGGAGCATCTTATTAAAAGATTCTACACACATAAGATTAAAAACTGTGCAGTTGTGCAGTGAAATAAATGTAAATACAGCACAGATTGAAAAAGCTATTTTTGACATTTGGTAGTTGGTACCATAAGCAAATCCATAGTTAATTATAGCATTAAACAGATATATGCCATTTGTGGGTGCGCCTTGTTTTCGGATTCAGACACGCCGTTTTGGTGCCATCTACCGGCCGTTCCCACGAATCTTGCAATATTTAAAATGGGTGTGCGCGTTTTTCCTCTTAATGTGTTTTTATTTTACCATTTTTTTCAGAAAGCAACAGAAACAATAAACATTTAACGGAAAAGTAGTACTGGTTCACCCAAAACTATGGCACCATCACTTACAAAAATCACTTGCGGGATTTATTAGTAACGTGTATATACAAATGAATGTGTCACGTTGTGCGACTAAAATCAAAGAGCTTAGTTGCAGTATTTCTGAATTACTAAACCTCCTTCTTGGAACAAATCCGTCACTTGCCAAAACCATTTTACTGAATCAGTCACACATTTTGCAAAGCTTTAAACAGTATTCAGCTAGTTAAGCACAATTTGCAGACCCGAGTCACCCTTCTCGCAAAACTCTAAACACATTCCCATTAATCAAAACACATTTTGCACTGTGGTGAACTTTGATGCAAAATAGAAAACACAGGCTGCAGAAGTTCAGCACAGCCACCATACAGTAGTCATCATTTGAACACAATGACTCAGACCTGTTCACACATGTTTCTAAACATGGGAAGAAGCCAAAGAGGGACTAGAACATGGAAAACATAGGTGACTTGAATTTCGACGTCAAATCGTCAGCAAGGGAGAGCATTTCCTGTGATGCAGCTGAAGTTTTCCGTCCTGATCCAGCCCTGACACATGGCGATGAGGCAGAATGAATGTTCTTCCTGGACTCTGGCTTGCAGTTGCACATTTTACTGTAATATGCCTTTAGATGTTTTACTTTGTCCTTTACAGTAACTTTTTGGAGAACTGAATACTGTAAACATTACATAGGCTATTGCTTTAAGTATAACTGTATTGGCTTCCGATTTTTCAAGACGCAAAAGACCTTATTTACAGCAAACATGATTCTCTTTGTGCCAGTAACATTTTTGACTGGTATTTTAAATTTTTTGCTGTAGTGTGTAATGACTATACTCAGTAATGTTTATGTACTGAGTACTGACTGGCTTGATGCATGATCTGAAAGCAGTGTTTGGTTTTGAGTAGATTGTTCGATTTTGCAAGACGACTCCAAGGTTTTGTGAATGTAGTTTGAAAGTTGGGCTTTTTGTTTACTGAATCAGGAACGGTTCAGGAAATGTGCTTTAGTAATTCAGAAAAAAACTGTAATACAGGAAACATATTTACATCGTTGACAGGTGATTTGTAAATAGCCTAACCAGTCTGGACAAATGCACAAGCCACATTGCTGTGTACTATTAAAACCGCTTCATGATATGAAAAGTTATCAGTGTCGTCCAGCGCCATAAATAGGAAACAAGACACCGACCATTACGCAGCTACACTGCTTGGAAATATTATGTTTTAAACACCTGCGGGAAAAGTAGTCTTACATAGCCCCTATTTAGTGGCTTGCATATAAGGTAAAAACAACACGAAGCTGAACAAAATCAATAATGAGAAGGTTAGATTAACATTTTATGTATGGAATTATTTAAACCACTATGTGCTTATATCACTAACGGAAACACGCCCATGATGGGGTTGCTACCGCTGCTTATAAGGCAATACAAACAAATGACAAAAATTATTTTAAAAAGATAATGATAATAGAAAATAATAAAAGACGACGCTGCCGGAGACTTTACGCTGGGTGACTGAGGTTATGGCTGCAGCCGGTTCACACTCACCTGAGCCCTGGGTAAGACAGCGAACCAGCGACCTCCCTCCAGGACCTTCCTCCCACTATAACGGGACTCCCACGTCGGGCCGGAACCATGGTGTTTACTGTGGTCTCATTGGTCGGATCTCACGATGAGGGGGCGGGGTCGGTGTGTTCTCTGTAATCGTATTGGTCGAATTTCACGAAGCGAGGGCGGGACCCTAAAGTTCCCGGATGTTGCGTGATGGTTACCATTCCGGTCCCTATGATGTCAGGGCAGTTCGGGATAAAGGGTGCGATTCCGAGAAACAGAGACAGAGAGAAAAGCACCTAGGAAAAGTACATTCAAGTAGAACGGTTCTGGGTGGGAAAGCAATGCAATATTCCCAAAGAGAGATGTCTCCCCACACTCGTCCAGTCGAGTTTGCACATTTGGCGTCATTTGGGTCGACCCTTCTTCACTAAAGGAGGTTGAATTCCCCCCGAGAACTGTCATCCCGACAGCGTTCATTTTCCTGATTGCTGAGTCATATTCAGCTTTGCATAGTACTGCTGTTAGTATAATTCATTTTAAATAATATTACAATAAACCTAATATAAATTAATTTAAATTTAAATTATTTGAATAAATAGTCATGCATGTAAAACCGATTATGGGGGTACCGTTTAAAATATTGTAAAATTTCGTCCGATAGCATCCCCTAGCGATACTATAGCAAATTGCGATATTCCCGCACTTGCTTTTTAAAGCATCGTACAAACCAGTTACAGTTCCTCATTTTCACACCTAGTGGTGTCTCTGTGGTGAGATATGAAAACAATACCACGACATCTTAGGCAATTTTCGGAAACGTTTGATACAATTAAAAAAGCCGCCGTTTTGACCATTAAGCTTGAATAATTTCGCAGGTCTTGGGAAACTGCTGATCGACCTATAGCTCTGGCTGGTAGCCTAATTATACCTAACAATTAATTATGTAAAAGTACAAATTTATATATTTCACTGTCCAGCACTGCAGGGGTGGGGGCTTGTGTGTTGTGCAATTTCGCCTGAGTCGAAATTGCAATTAATTGGTAAAACCAGCACTGCGCTATGTTCTATTCTGGTATTTTGCTCCGTTGCATAGGTGGTTTGTTGGCACCCTATATATAAGTAAACAAAATAATAGGTTTTGTGTGCATCAAATACTTATGTTAAAAAAAATAAGATAAGCAGGATGCAGGTTTTTTGCGCCCCCCCCCCCAAGTGTAAACATCAAACGCCGCCTATGACTGTAGGTGGCAGTATGTGACTTATAGTTGGTTTTTACCTTGCTGGTCAACCTGTTAAAACACTGAGGGAAGACTTGTGACTAGAAGGTAGACTATCCTTCTACATGGACAAACCCAGCAATAGATGTTTTAAAAAAATTAAAAAAATTTACGTCAAGAGAATCTGTTTGATGCTTGCTCAAAATATAGTAGAAACTCGTCATATCTCATACATATGAAGGGCACATACTGGTATATACTGTATATCTGTATATATGTGGCGTCTAGAAGTGAACTGAACACCGTATTCTGAACCGGTGACATAAACTCGTGCTGTTTTGGACCAATTTATAATATCACGGGACTGACATTTCCCGTTTTATACATCCACCCCTTCGTCTGTAGGCTACTTCACACGTCCCTCGTCTGGCAAAGCAAATCAGCCACTAAGAAAAACACCCACACGTAGCCCCGGCTGCTGGACAATGATAAAATCGCACTAAAATAAAACAAACATCATGGCAGTAAAATGCTGTGGAATCGGAGGCGGTGAACAGTGTCCAATAGAGAACAGAAATCCTCCCATCTGGCTCAGAGACGGAGGACGAAAATAGTGTCTGAACATGCAAAAATGAATCAAATTTCTACCCAGCTGAAATGACAGCAGAAGGCTTATTAGGACTCATTTAAATAATAAATGATTCCCCAGAACACAATTATTGATTTTTCTGGAGTACTCTAACGAGAATAAATGAAAATTGCAGGGCAGATTGGACGGCATAACAGCAGAGGCATGTTTAATTAATAAATGACTATTAGCATTTCTTGCATCTAGTTTAACACTAATTTGCCAATTTTATGGTTTCACCTTCCCCCCAAAATTCTCTAAACGTTTAATTGAAAATATGAATCTCACTAGGTTTGCCTGTGTGTAACTTGAATGTGTTTTTTTTTCTCCTCTGAATGTACTGCAATTTACTTGTCTATATCCATATGGTGAATGTGACAGATGACCACTGTAAAACAGGCATTTTTACTGATCTGACGCAAACTGCTGTACTCCAGAAGTCTTTCACTGGGAACTGTCACATTTGTTAAAGTAATTACATCAAGTAAAAAGGCTGAAGCCTTTTGATGAGGCCTATCATTTATTTAATTATCTGCCCAATTATATATTATAGACCTAGCCCTATATAAAATAAAATTAAAAAAAATATATCTAGCGAAACATTTTGACGTCTTTGTAATGTAGTCATAATTTAATACAAACAACCGTATTTCTTGGCGCTGACATTATGAACTTGCAATTCAAAGCGTCTTTGATCACCCCGCAGCTGTTCCCTATATATATATTTACATGCGCTCACATTATCTGTGCCAAGCAGCTGCCCGGAGCCGGGGCTGTGCCGGCCAGCCAGTGCTCCAGCCAGTACCACTGGCCAGGAGGTCTGTTTTTATCTTGACAGAATCAAAATAAAAGCATTTACCTACTTAGGAACAATTTCTGTTAAAAAACACCAACTGTTCAAACACATGGAATGATAAGTGACCTTTGAGAACAGTGGGACTCTGGTTTCTCCCGACATTTCTGCACCTTTTCAGAAATATTAAATACATATTTGAAAGAGCTCTTTATATACTTTATTTCATGCACATTCTAAAAAATCCAGCAACATGGCATGTTTGCTTTGTGTGTATTATTTTTTCTCTGTTATCTTCTTTGCTGGTCTACCCATGGACCATGGATGTTCAGATGTTTTCTGAGTCTTTCAGATGGCTGGCTGTATATTTTGTACACCAGACAATAAAAACACCAAATACATTCATAAAACACCCCTATTGCCACATGTCCGGGTTCTGCTGTGCCGGTACACTGACGTGTCTGTGTAAGCTGAATGAGGGTTTCTTCATACACACCTCAGTATCACACAGCATAGCTCTGTTACATAAATCTGCTGTGTTTTTTATAGTAAACGCAGACACCCCCACCCAGCCTGAGGGTGTAATGCATTCCTCCTGCTATCTTCCTCCCTTTCTTTTCACTTCCTTCTTCATTCCTCTTGTCTTCCTTCTCCCTTCCTTATCTTCCCTTCCTCCTGCTTTCCCCCTTCCTTCCTCCATCTCCTGCTTTTCTCTTCCTCTCCTCCTTTCTTCTGCCTTTCTGATACCATTGTCCTTCCTTCCTCCTGCCTTCCTCCATCCTTTCTCTTGTTTTTCCCCTTCCTTCCTCCTCCTTTCCTCCTGTCTTTCTCTTATTTTCCTCCTCCCTTCTTCCAGTGTTTCTCCCATCCTCCTTCCTTCCCTCTACCTTCCTCCTGCCTTCCTCCTGCTTTCCTCCTCCCTATTTCCTGCTTTCCTCTTGTCTTCCACCTCCCTTCCTGCTACCCCCATCTTCCTCATGTCTTCCTCTTGCTTTTGTCCAGTCTTCCTCCTGCTATGCCCCCCTTTCTCCTGCTTTCCTATTGTCTTCCTCCCCCTGTCCTCCTGCCCCCTCTTGTCTTCCTGTTTTCCTCCTGCTTTCCTCTTATCTTCCTCCTCCCTTCCTTCTTACTTTCTCTTGTCTTCTTCCTGCCTTCATCCTTTCTTTCTTCTGTCTTCCTCCTGCCTTCCTGCTATCTTTCTGTGCCAGGAGCAGGGATGGACCGCACGCCTCACTAAGGCTCCTGGAACCAGTTGCCAAGGCAACTTCATAATTGTTTTGGATTTAATCCAGACACAACTGGATACCAGTTCCAAGGCGTCACGGATGTCAGAGGAAGCATGGGCCGAGAGGCAGCAGATGATGGTGAGTTATCGTGGCAGAGGGCATAACGCTGGGCACTTCCTCGGGTTTTCATGCCCATTTTGCAGTGGCTGTAGGTGCCCGAATCGCAGTCGTGATGTGTCACCATCTGCATACGAGCCTGATTACAAAGGGACACCTCGCAAACAGACACAAGGCGAGGTGTGTGTCTATTTCTGACACGATTAACAGTCCCACTTGGAGCTCCCAGCCTGTTCCAGATTGGCTTTACCCAGATGGAGGATGTAATCAGCTTTGGAGAATCCTGGGAATCATCCATCTTCGCATTCACCAAGCAGGTCAGTCATTCCTAGTATTTCAGAGCCCAGGAGAAACAAACATATTTGGTTTTTATAAATGTATTTGGTTTTTTAACTACCTGATGCGCTAAATATACAGCCAGCCATTTGATAGGCACATTCTTCCTGCTGTCCTCCTGTTTTCCTCCTCCCTTTCTTCTGCTTTCCTCTTGTCTTCCTCCTTCCTTTTTCCTACCCTCCTTTTCTTTTCCCGACCTGTTTCAGACTGGTCTTACCCGATGGAAGATGTAATCAGAGACATTTGCAAAGCTTTGGAAATTCCTGGGGATCATTCATCTTAGCAGTCACCAAGCAGGTCAATCATTCCTAATATTTCAAAGCCTAGGAGAAATATCACTGTCTTGGGAAATCCACCATCATGCCAACGAAATAGAGACAGCCATTAAAATATCATCAAAATATTATTCTGTTAAAGCCATTTTCGTAGTAAAATAAGAAACCATAGTTATATTTACCCATCTACAAGTAAAAACTGCCCAGACTAAATCAAAACATGCCATAAGAAATTAACGCTAACTTGTAAACACTCTAAGATCAGTTGCAACGCATTTTATTCGGTTGTACTGTGGTTTGATTTTGTACATATTGAACATGTTCAGAAAGGCACCAACATTCTGCCCTCTGAACAGAAATGAAATTCAACCCAATATAAAATTGCCGCGGCAATAAGACACAGAATTTATTTGTCACGTTAAACAAAGAATCTGTAGCTTCCAACCATGTTCTGGCCTAACATGGCCTCCATGCTGAAGGCCTTGGGCATCTTAC